GTAAAATTTCATATTATATAATATAATTTGAAATTTTACTTTGTATTCACAATGCATGAAAAAACTATGCTAATTAAAACCCATAAGCACAGTTCTAAGCTCAGCTGAATTCGTGAAAGGAAAACTATATGTATGCCAAATTCGAATCATTCTACATAAATATGTGCTGAATTTGTGAGAGAATATTAAAAAGAATAAATAAAATTATTGTCATACATGCCAAAATTCCAAAATGATCCATCCCAAACTGATAAATATAGTGAAAGTTTATCTTTTTAAAAATTATAAAAGGAAGTAATTGTGGGGTTAAATTGCCTTTAGATTAACGTAAATCAAAAAGATTTTGTTTTTTTAACCTTAACAAAATTAATTTGTTTTCTAAAAATTTATCATTAGCCTTAATTCTTCTCATCTCATCATTATTAAATGAGGCAATGCTTGATAACAATGATTTTAGCAGGTTATTACCAATCGATATTGATGCGATTTTTGATATTGATGAGGATTCTGATATGGATATAAGCAACAATGAGCTTAATGATACTCTTGATAGAATTATAGATGCAACAGATGGTGTTGAGAAAATGTGGGAAATGCAAGATGATGATGAAAACCCACAGGATTCGCATAATATAGAGAATTCCAAAACATTTTACTTACCTGCTGATAGCTATGAAGAGTGGATAAAAAATCTTGAGAAGGCAGGGCTTAGTTATATTAGACATGAACATAAAACAAAAAAAGGTGGCTCTAGAAAAAAATATATGTAAACAGAATGATGGCTCTGCTATCATTATGGGATCTACAATAGTATTGCTAGAAAAGATTCTAGCAAAAAGTCGTGACTTGCACAAAAAGAATCTAAAAAATGTGGGTGCAAAAGTTATATTAAAGTAGTGCTTCCAGTTAATTCAACAATAGTAACTCTGCAACACTATTATAAACACAATAACTATCAACCTGGCCAGCCAGCTATCAGATTTATACACACTTCCTCTATCAGATAACATTCACCAATTCATTAGGCAACATGCTTTAGAAGAACTCGATACTCATAGTATTCAACAACTTTTGTGGTACTGAGAAATTGAACTTCAAGATCGTGTGTAGCTTTTGGAACGAGGAACTAAATCTCAAAATATTCGGTCGCTATGAGATGGCCTAGTAACAAAAGATGACATTTATACTATTGTGCATAATACTATGAGATCATGTGCCTACCTTGATAATGATGAATTAAGATCTTTAATAAAGTGGCAAGAGAAACTAAATTGTGTGGGTGGAAATTGCTTGTTTAATAATAGTGATAGTGAAAATAAAGGGTTTATGTTTGCTTTTCAAACAGAAAAGCAAAAAGAATTAATAAAATTTGCAAGGGTGGTGTGCTTAGATGGTACACACGAGTTAAATTAGTATAGATACCACCTCTTCACGCTCATTATATGGCATCCAACAACAGGAAGCAGATACCCAGTCGCATTTTTAATTAGTAAATTCAAATGATTAGTCACATTAAAAGCTTGGCTTGATTTTTTAAAAGAAATTAACAGCGAATGAAGTCCAGATATCTTTATAGTCGACGATGCAGGTGAGGAGATTAAGGCGGTTGAAGAATGTTTTCCTAATACCAATGTATTATTGTGCTATTTCCATGTATTGTGCTCCTGGCATCGAAATTTAAATCATAATCATGGTGCTAATAAAAATCCTCACAAAGCAATTATTTGGAAGGATCTTTGGCAGCTAATGAAAACAGAAGAATAGAATGATTTAGAAGCATTAAAGCAAATTACAGAGGCAGTTAGTAAGTGGAGAAGAATGGGTGTTGAGGTCTCAAATAAATTTGCTGACTATTTTGAAAGGTGGTGGAAGCCCAAATATAATAAATAGATGGTATGTCTGAGAGGAGTTGCTAGAGACATGATAGACACTAATAATTTAATAGAGATATTTTATAGAAAATTAAAATATATATATATGAGAGGAAGATCTAAGCGACGCCTCGATAGTGAAGTATACCTTCTTGTAGAAATAGTACTCCGAGACTTGGACTTCTCTGTTTTTTTGGATGATTTGAATATTGGAAGAATGAATCCACGACGACAACAGCAACAAACCGAGAAATTGAAGAAACAAAAAAAATTAATCAGAACAATATCTATAATATCAGTTCTGATACCTGGATCATCTGCTCTATGACTAACTCTGATATTGAATATTCTGTTAAAAGAAGTAATGATAAAGATAACTTAAATACTGCTTTATATATTTGTACTTGTCGTGATTTTAGAGTACGTCAATTACCATGCAAGCATATATTTGCTATATTAAGTCGATTTCAGATCTCTGAAGACAACATAGAAGAAAGTAATCAACATATTCAACATCGCATTAATATTTCTAGTTTTTCTAGCACTTATTATCTACCTACAAATTATATTAATATGGAAAAAGGTGAGTTCGAAAAATTACAGGAGGAACTTGCAGCAGAGTGGAATAATAAAAATGATCAAGACATTTATAGTCTGCGGCTTACTCTCCAACAGATTGTTCAAATGGAAAGAGCAAGAATTGTAAGAATCGATGTTGTACTACAAATTATTAGTAGTAATGAGTTTGAAACCCAAAATAATGCACCAAATATGAAATTTGAAAAGCAAAATAGATATTAATTTAAACTAAAACCTAATAAATTATGTTAAAAAGTATAGTATTATAGTATTAGAGCAATAAAAGTTTTTTTTAAATAAATTTCGGTAATAATAATTTTTTTTTTTTAATTCAGTAATAAAAAAACTAATTTTGTCTAACCTGATTTACAAAATAAAAATAAGGTTTCAAAAAGTTGACACATTGAATAGATTTAATATATATGAATTATAAATAATACTTTTTAAATACGTAGCCATAATAAAATTTGCTTTAAAAATTTGCTAATTGTTACATACTAGGATTATTAAATGTATTAATTGGTAGGTTTAAACCAAATTAGCAAATGCTTTATTGTTTTTTTAACTAGTTCATGTCTTTATACAGAATTCTTGAAGTTAACAATCTTTAATCATGGGACTATTGTAAACTAATTCATGATTAGTATTGACAAATCACCCAATTAAATTATAAATGACACTGTGTTTCGTAAGTAAATCCATTATAACAGAAAAATCACCAATAATCCTAATTTATATAGATATATAGTCAAATACGTACGTATAATATAAATCAAAAATATATATACAATCAAGTTTATCAAATACGCATAAACTTATAAATAAATCATTTTGCTAAAAATTTTAAAACATTTTATATTTTTATATATTCTATACACTTCTAATAACCACAACTAATTATTAATTACAAATCAAATTTTTCATAAGCTTGCGTTGCTAAAATTCCATCTTTAAAATTCCACATTCGATAAAACAAGTTTTTCTAAATCCCGGTTCCTATTAAACCTTCCCAGCAAAATACAAGATCTACAAAAAGAAAGTATTAGCAATGGTACTGAAAAATAACAAAAAAAAAGAAAAAGGCAAACTGGTACTTATCTTTAGTACCAATTTCAGGTTCAAGATCTCAACCGCGATCCCAATTAACCCTTCCCAGCAAAGCACAAGACCTACAAAAAAAAAAGAGAAAAAGCATTAGTAACAACTCTAAAAAATGACAAAGAAAAGAAAAAATGCAAACTAGTACTTATCTTGGTACCAATTTCGGGTTCAAGATCACAACCCTGGTCCAAATTAACCCTTCCTGGCAAAGCACAAGACCTACAAAAAAAAAAAAGAAAAAGTAACACCTTTAAAAAATGCAAACTAGTACTTATCTTGGTACCAATTTCGGGTTCAAGGTCTCAATCCCGGTCCCAATTAGCCCTTCCCAGAGAAGTACAAGACCTACAAAAAAAAAAAAAAAAGAGAAAAAGTAACAACTCCAAAAAATAACAAAAAAAAGAAAAAACACAAACTAGTACTTATCTTGGTACCAATTTCGGGTTCAAGATCTCAATCCTGGTTCTAATTAACACTTTCTGGAGAAGCACAAGACCTACAAAAAAGAAAAAAAGCATTAGTAACAACTTCAAAAAATGACAAAGAAAAGAAAAATGTGAACTGGTACTTATATTGGTGTCAGATCCAAGTTCAAGATCTCAATCCTGATCCCCATTAACCCTTCTCGGAGAAGTATACGATCTACAAAAGAGAAAAAAAAAATATTAGTAAAAGACAGTAAATAAAAAAAAAAAAGAAAAAGATCAAAGATCGAAAAGAAAGAAGATCAAAAAAAAAAGATCAAAAAAAAAAAAAAAAAAAAAAAATCAGAAAAAAAAAGTCAAAAAAAAAACTAAATAATCAAGATTATCATCTGCAACATAAATATAAATCATATACTTAAGATTAGTAGGCAGGATTGGAGACTTTAAAGGTGAATCAAGCCAACGAAATTTAAAAAGTTGGAAAGATATGACATTATTGTCTTGTCCAATCAGGGGTGATATTTACTTGTGACCAATTAAAAATACAAAAAAGTGAAGCGAAAATTAGTAAATGCCCCAACTAGGAGGTTACCTATTTAAACCCTCTGATCATAATCTAATTCCACCTGGTGGGGTCTTCTAACTTGATTGCTGAATTTTGTTTGTGCTTTAAAACTTACCAACTTGGTCTATCCTCGAGATAAACCCACTGGAGCCTTCCATATCCCATTTTGGCTAAGGCTCCCACTCATAGTTTGGGTTACCCCATTTAACTGCTATGCCCTTATAAGATTCACTTCAACCTCGGCACCTCTATTCAGACTTTTCTTTTCTTCAGATTCTTAACTAGTCTCTTTCTTACTTCCAGCCGGCAACCTGGAAGGGTTGGTCTCTCCAAGCATTAGATACTCTATAGATATCCCCCCTTGATACACGCTTCCAGAGCACATGTCTTTTTTCTCTAGTTTTGGTGACCTGGCGGTTCGGCTGATGTGCCCCCACTTAAAGACCTGGTCGCTTGGTTCTTTGGTTTCAGTCTCTAATTCCAAATTCAGTCTTCTTGTAGCACCATCAAAAGTTTCCATTACCTTCTCACTCAGGACTTCCCAAACAGGTTTCAATCATCGCAGTTTTTTGGCCTTTTATGCGCCAAAGCTCCTATATAAACATGGTGTTACCAAGATTACAGGTTCTGGGACCCAACTGATCAACCACAACCATCACCATATCATAGGCTTATTTTTTGAAAAATGTTATCTGTGGGATTTGAACTTTGGACCTGCTGCTTAGTGAGGTGATAACTAGACCACTTCACTAAGCTGCCACACCCTTGTGCTGTATGCTATTATTATAGAAATAAAGGTTATTTTATTAGAGAGTGCCGTATTAGAAAAGAAGATAAAAATAGAAGCTCCTGTGCCTATTCCTGTGATAGATATAGCTCCTTGTTATCAAAAAATCATCAATCTTATGAGCAATCTTGATCTAGAGATAGAAACAGATCCAGAGACCAAACTTCTAGTCATTATAGATATGATCAATCTAGAAGTTGAAGTAATCTCGAAATAGATCAAGAAATGATAGGGACTATCATTCTTTTAACCAATCCAGAAGCTATTTTTCTACCCCTTACCCTCAAGATGTTTATATCATTGATACTACTAATAATTATACTTATAAACAATTTGAAATATTTTTGGTTAATGAATCTATTCAAGAAGCCCTAGCTAGATATTTAGCTGAGGAAGCTAAAATTAAGACACAAATACTCTTTCATACTACTCCTGTAAAATACAATATTAAACTTAAAAGAAGATCTTATCAGCTGTAATTGACAGTGGTGCTGCAATTAGCATGATCTCTTATCAAACTGTTAAGGAACTCAAATTAAAAATAGAAGCTCCTTCGACTAGCCTTATCATATCTGCCACTGAATCCTCTGTTTGACCTTTTGGAATAATTAGAAATTTGCCTATAGAAGTTGAAGGCACTATTATCTTTCTTGATGTTGAAGTAATAACTGCTACTTCATATTTATTACTTTTAGGTAATGACTGGTTACAAAAAGTAGAAGCTAGTTATAATTAGAAAAACAAAGCTTATACCCTTAAGTAGAATAAGAAAAAGATTTATATCCTAACTACTTATAAAAATAACCAACCATTATCCACTCAACCTATAATTACTAATAAAAAAGAATTACAACAATTTGAACAAGAATATCTTAGCCCCGTAAATTATCAAAATAACAAAAATCGAAAGAAAAACATTTGCAAATTTACAAATACAAATAGTTCATATAGGTTTTTTGGTCTTAGGCCTTCTAAATATTATATAAAAGACTCTAACAATACCTATACAAAGCTGAAGAGAGATAGAAACACACTACTTTCCACTCCTGAAGCTTTCAAACCCTTCTTTATTCCTCTAACATCTTCTAACTACACTCTGATGGATCTTATTGGGACCTCAGACAACCAACTTGTAGAACAAAAATTCACTAAACTAGACAATCCACTACTACTAAAGAAGAAAAAGACAACTCCTAAACATATAGATGAAATTAACACTATGTTTAACACCACCACCACCACTTTACCACTTAGTGATTCACAAAATTTAGACCAAAGTAGAGAATTTAGCAAACCCCTATCAAAATTATCGATGACATCATCCAACCAAAACAACCAACAAATATGGGTGATAATCCAAACAAACAAGACAGCGTAGAAAATAATCTAAGCAAACAAGGCAGTGTGGAAAATAAATAAAACAAACAAACAAGTGTGGGAAATAATATAAATATCTCAATACCCTGAATCACAAGTATAGTAATTGATCATCACAACACACTCAACCCATTTCCAGACCTCATCCAAAACAACTCCTGGAACCCGAACCAACAACCACCAACTCCTAATAATCTCACACAACCAACTCGAGTAAACAAAGACCTAGACAATCACATAGATATCCAATTTAATACAACAATCGAATCTTCTGCATCTCCAAAGAAGTCATACAGTAGTATACTTACCTCCAACCTTCAAAAAAAAAATACATCAAGGATAACCAATCAGTTACTTGGTGTAACTCAGTTACTATTGCACTAGCAAAAGCACGCATACAGGACTTCAACACAACAGTCTGGAGCAATGACACAATGATTAACATCTTCTTATCTTCTGAGCTGCTTCAAAAATTTTTCTAACACAAAATTCAAACCAATCCAACCCATTACAACCTACCAAGTGCAATTACACCAAAATTTGAATATCTGGACTCAGCATTCTTTTGATCTTTTACAAAAAACAAAGAAACCCAATCACAGCACCAAAAAGAATTCAATTCACTTTTACAAATAGCAGTAAAAAAATATAAAAGACTATACAATGTTTACTTCATAAACAAATATAACAGAGACCAGATCTTTGCAAAACTCAAAGCCAAACTAGCAATAGACTTTATATACAATATAGACTTTCTGACCAACAGCCCACACAATTGTATTAGAATAATTACTTACTATCTCAACTTTGCCCAAATAAATTATATGAAGTTTGATCAACAAGACCCATACAGCATTACTTATTCCATTACCTCAAGATCTACTTAAGATTAATCTATCTATTTAGCAGATTCTTCCTTTTTCCCTACCAATTCAAGATTGCAAATTTACTTGAGCAAGTATATTAGCCTTACAAAAAATTTTTACTTTTGAGAAACTTCTTGACAGTTACTTTCTCACTATTCTCGAACCACTTTCAGACGATCCTGCTAATCTTTATGTAGAAATCAGGAACTTTTTTCCAATTACAGAATAGGCAAGACTACCTTTTCTCTCCAAATACCATGCAAAACTAATGAAATATTATATCATAGAGAGGATACCATCTAATTATTTTAACTTACCTGAAGCAAAACCTTGGCTTCCAACAACTTTACAGAATCTTACTTCAGCAGTTCGGCATCTATTCCCTTGTAATCTGTCTGATACTACAGAATTTCGTAGATATGTTGATATTCTTAGAGAGCACTATAGCTTCTGATACATTCCAAATGATTATTTTGTACAAAAGAAAATACTTCTAGTAGACCCATACTCTATCAAAACAACTGGAACTTACAATTTTCTGATTTCTGACACTCACCAAGCCAAAGAATTTGTAGCAGAAATCCAAAACAAATACAAATTCAATATTCTACTTCCACTAACCTACATGACTATTAACCCCACAAATAAACCTCAACTTCTTAGTGAACTTAACCTTATTACAGAAGTAAATTTAACAATACCAATTAGAAGCCCCAAAGCCTTGATCGATATGCTCGATTTCTGAGAGAATACTACTTTTTCTATCAAATCTCAAGCGAATAGATCAAAATCTATATCACTACAAGCACTTCAAAAAACCTCCACTTCCATCTCAGTTATCAG